ACGAAGACTTTTCTCTCTTGGGGCTCATGCAAGCGGCCGTATTTTATGTTTGTTTCAGGGACTCGGTGAGAAACAGCGAACCGCAGAGCCCGTTTGTGTTTTGTGAACAATTTTCTTTGTGCCAGGAAGCGGGCGACAACCGTTTAACAGGACATTATTACCTTCGTTTTACTTTATTCTTTGGGGGACAGAGAGCTTAGTTATGTACTTATACCATGATGAGCTGTGGGAGATTTGACAGCAACATCAGGATGCAGCACTTGGCTGTTGCAGTGAGTTAATGATGGGGAACGAGAAAACATGAGACAGAGAGATAAGAATGAAGGAATTCTGAGGACTCGCGTTCCAATCATAATGCGAGACATGTGTAATGTGTATGCTAATGTGAGGTTGTACGTGATCAGAGCCCTCCATGATACTAGTTGTGATCATGGTGAAGGGCGATGCTTCAAGATGCATTGAAACACCGGCTTCCAGAGCCCCAATGTCACTAAAACAACAAAGCAACGTGATAAGGCACATCGCATTATATCTTATATTGCCCAAGGCTTCATACTGGCACGACTGTCGAGTCAGACAACTTCACACGATCCTCATGCTGGGACCCGAGATTGTTTCTCATACAAACATAAAACACGAGGGGAAAGAAGCTTCCGGCAGCTTGCACGGCACATCGTTTCTCTCAACTCCCGTTCCCAATCTGTAATGATCGGTTTGCTCAGCCCCATGAAGGATGTGTCTTCAAAACATCGGAGAGCTTCTTTGTTTCTTGTTGTGTGTGATTGAAACATTAAGCCCAAGATATTCCATGGTTCTTGTTTTTGGTTGGGTTGATTTGCTGTGGCCCTTGAGATTATCACCAGTAGGAAGTTGAATGGGTCCGAGATCATAACTCTTTTTGATTGGCCTTGACCGTTAGAAGCTACTTAATCTGAAACAGGTCTGAAATTAGCGAAAACCCGAGAACCCCGGCATTTTTTGCCTTGCTTTGCTGCTCTACCCCTGTCAAGGCGGACAGGAGCTGTACCTTGCAGAACCGCGGACTAGGGTGGGAGGCTCTCGGACCTCGTAAGAGCTAGCTGGTGACAATGTTCGTCAAGGACCGAAGAATCCGCGAATTGAAAGGGCTGGAAGTGCTTTGAGCTAGAGTGGCACACAGGAAGAGTAGCATAATTGTTTCGGCTGCTAGCCACCACATCCCGTTGATAGCTTTTGTCTGGTGATTGATGGGTCGCCAGCAAGCCCATCGCCATCTCATCCGTGGAAGCGCCGCCACATAGTTGGCTGTCTCTCAAACATCTGTAACGGCTCTCAACTCAAACGGCGCAAGATCTGTCGGCTTCCATGTGATGATCGTCGGCAACCGGAACACGATATGTTTCCTGTTGATGTTATGATGACATGGCGGAAAGCACTTTTGTGCACAGCATATTGTGCCCCTGCCTGCGTAATCAGTCTGAGGTAAATCATCGTCAAACCCTGGCGCTCCTTCGTTTGCTGTCTTTGAGGAACCCCACGTAATGTGACACGACTGTCGGACTAAGCTTAGCTTGCGATGCTTCCTCTTTCAACAGTCTGAGGTCGATCTGGACCTCTGAGGAACGGCCTGTTATATATAGTTTAATGAGTATGGAAGTGATAGGATTTGAAGGAATATGTTAAGGTTCGTGGCTATCAAATTATGCCTTATCTTTCTGCTTACCTTTTGACTTCAAGGAAAGTGTAAAGCTCCCGGTGTTGAAACAGGTACTTAGCATAGGTACCTTAGCCATGTTTTTGCACATTGTGCCTCCCTAATGTGATGTTTTATCCGTGCTCAAGTATCCAGCAGAAGGTGTTGCTTCGGAGTTGCTTCCCATCCGGGGTACTCCCTGTCGTGGCCCGAGCCCCATCCAGTCTTCGTCTTCTTTTCAGGTCCATGATCCGGAGGATTTCATATCCTCAACGTCTGATTTCTAGAATTCTTGTTTCCCTTTCTTTGTGCCCCACGGGGATATTCTTCTTCTTCTTCTTCTTTGCAGTGCAGGTCGAAGGCTTGATGTCTACACTCGCAACTTGAGCTCTTGTTCGATTCGTTACATGTTCCTTACCTTACATTCTATTTTTGTCATATTCTGAACATTTGGTCACTCGCCCATTCGAATTTTGATTCTACTACTTATCTTCGGATATATCACTGCCTTGTCCGAGGAACTGGAAGGATAACTTGAACGGTTAGCTTCCCCATAGGACTACCAAAGTCAGATGAAGAACTTCCACCGAGAGGCTTGTTTGTCTATAGGAAAGGAAATCGTCCCGTTCGAGAGTATCTACAATCACTACCAAAGGAATACGGGCAATTTTTGCTTGTGCTACACGAACAGGCAAAGCAAAGCAAATAAAGCTGTCATAGGCCTTCCTTTGTAAGTCAATCCGACAAGTTCGACCTGGTTTGTCGTCTACCGGACCCTTTGTCGTTACATTCGCAGTTCAAGCGTAACAGTTTTGGGTTCTCAATTGAGAATTCTTTTTTTCTCATCTTGCTTGATTCTCCTACGCTACGTTTATTTTCGTTCATTTTCATACAATTCCATGATGTCTGGTCCAACTCAATCAAAGATGCTGGTGGTGCCGCCAGCACTCAACTTGCGCCGAGCTAGCTCTTACAACGCCCAAGATCGTGGACCTATTTCTTCAACTTCATCCCGTTTCAATTTCAACCACCTATTCTTTTCACCGCCCGCTTCTCCAGCACTTCCAGCTCTGGTACCTCGACCTCCAAAAAGGACCTCGAGCCAGATCTTGGTCGCTCGACCAAGCCGAGTCTTTCGACGACTTTTCCTTCTCGGTATCTTGCTCTCGATCACATACCTTGTAGCATTGGCTTTTCAGAATCCAGATGCCATTCCAGCAGCAGTGTGGCCTTATTTTGGGCAAGAGGAGTTTGAGATGGTTGGCCAGGATGCCTTTCCAGATTTCCCTACGCCCATTCTTATCAACGACAACAAGGGTCGCTCGAAATGGACCGTCTTTATACCACCAAACGGGGATTTCCCCTTGACTATGGACCAATATGCGGAGATGGGCAGCCAATGTCGAGAGGTTTCTTCCCGGGCAAGAGATATTCATCACAAGGCCCCACTCACCGAAAAGGCCATCATCAACTACGATGCTAAAGACGAATACTATATCGATGTGTACGATGCTGAAAGATCAGGTCTTCTGACGCCTTACAAAGGCATTCGTGCCAAAAATAAGGGCAAATTTGTTGGGGTGGACAAAAAGCACTTGAAGCATAAGCCGGTCTGTGAAAGCACCATGACTTTTGTTTTGGAATCCTCAGATGCCGGCCTTGGGAATACACTCATGATGCTATGGACCTTTTACGGACTAGCGAAGCAACTCGACCGTGAGTTCTTCATTGTGGATAAACGTTGGGCCTACGGACCCTGGACCGAGATTTTTGAAGCCCCTCCTGTCCCTGACTGTCGTCCCCCTCCTCGACACCACATGGTTCCTTGTCCTTTCCAAGCCCGCCACTTGGTTGTTTCCTCCGCGACAGCTAAGGAGGTATTCCCGGCATTGCTGGCCCAAAATCATCGAGTTGCAGGAACTGAGGATGGATTGCGGGATCTCTTCGAACTGGCTCGTATTGGATATGAAGATCTGTTTATTTTGAGTGATGAGGATCAGGCTTATGTTGATGAGCGTGTGACTGCACTTCAAGCCAAAGCCAACACTGAGGACAGCCTCACGACGCATATACCTATCATTGGGCTTCACGTTCGCCATGGTGACCAGCACCCACTCGAGTTCCAATATCGGGATACCTATATCCCGGCCGACGTCTACCTTAAACAAGTCATCCGTTATGTGGACGAATACTACAACATGACAGGGACGGAGGATAACACCCAACGCCGACATATCACTCTCCTGGCTTCAGACGACCCCACAGTCCATGAGGAGCCTGAGTTTTCTCATACCATTCTTTCCCAAGATCGAATTCGTTTGGCTTCGAAAGGTGCGATTGCCCGCGCAAGTGGCAACCAGCATTCGCTAAATGACTTTGTCGAGAATACTTTCGGCTGGGAGGGCGGTTTCTTTGCTCCCCTTTTTTGGAATCTCGGTGTTGACAGCAAGAACAATGCTGCTGAAGCACCCGCAGGAGTAAATGTCGATGGTGTGAACGAAGAAGCCAGACATATGGCACCGCCTTCCGAAGAAACACTCCGACTCCGTAGCCTCGTAGGCCGAGCCTATATGATGGATCTGGCCGTCCTCTCTGAGTCGAGTGATAAGATAGTTTGCACCGTGAGTGCTTCAGGTTGCCGGCTACTGGCCGTGATGATGGGTTGGGAGGATGGCATGGAAAACAGGGGCTGGCATAACGTTGACGGAACCTATGGCTGGGCAGGCATCGACTGGTGACGTAAAGACATATTTTTCTTCTTTATCAATTTTTCTCTCTCTTGTGTGAAAATAAGTACAGAGGGACATGAGGACAACTGTAAGACGTACTTGATGTCACGAACATAGGATGGTGTTGGTTGGCGTTGATTCTGGATAGCGAATAAGATACCAATCTTTCCTCTTTTACTCAATGGAAATACATTACAAACAATGGTTTGCAACGTGGTTAGGCTTTATCCTTATCCTGAAGTATAAGTATGAAGTTTTATATCAGCGACTAAGTACACTACGGAGATAATTTGGAGGCGATCATGATTTCAAACAATGCCCTATCAACTGCCAGCGGATAAAAGTGGGCCATGCGGTCCATGATGCGCGCGCAGCGCGATTCCTTTATGGATTCCGTTTCAATCTTATCAGCACACCTACCTCAACGTGAACGAAAGGACACATCATTTCCAAGCAGCGCTTTTTGTCAGTGCGGCTTTGCACCCTCCTTCTCCCCTGCCTCCGAGTCACACGGAACGAATCCCATACTTGACGCAGTTTCTCCTCGCTTGAATTAAGCATCGTGGATATCTTAGCTCTGCAAGCTCCCCGTCTCCAACATGTCGACACCGACACCGACACCAAAAGATGGTCAACCACTCGCAAAGCCTCGTCTGAAGATTAACGTCAGCCGGTCGTCCTCTTTCGTCGCTGATGCAAATGTGACTCCTTCAGCCTCGGCCCCGGCTGGCCCAGCTGCTCCGACTCCAACGCCAACGGAAGGTAGTCGCAAAGTGAAGCTCAAGATCGGAAAATCACAACCCTCAACGCCTGCGGAACAGCCCCCGGTCAAGACGAAAGCTGGGCGACAACCCAAGCCCACTCAGAAACTTGTTGAGAGCAAGAAGCGCGCACACGATGAACTGGATGATGAACTAGGCTTGGCGCATCCAACAACAAAAATCAAACTTAAGCAGACGAAATCAGGACTCACTCCAACGGTCGTGGTGAAGCCGAAGGGACGCGCACCAGTGCATCCGCCAGGAGATGGCTATGATTCAGAAGCGAGCGATCGGGAGAAGGATCCATCCATAGAGGAACAGTTTGTCCTGAGAATGCTGCCGGGAGAGCACTGTGACTATGTGCGCTGGTGCATGGAGAATGGCAAGATGGGCATTCCTCGGAGCCAGGGAGGAGCAGACATTCAACTCAAATTCTTTGAAGAGGATTCTCGAAGGGCGGTCGTGACGGTCAAGGGTCAACCGTTTGCCGCTGTCATGGTGGACCTGCCTACAGTTACAGAAGCGATGAAGACATGGGATCGCAAATCATTTCTCAAGTCTGCAGACATCTGCCAAATGCTTCTGGTTTACCAGAAAGTTTCCACCGAAGCTGAAGCGAGACAAACGCCTCTACCAAGCATGATCGACCAACACTTCAGATGGCCACACGGCCTAACGCCGCCCATGCACGATTGTGTGAACCGACGATTCGCCAAGACTATCAGTCGAAAGGAGATTGAAGATAAAGAAGCAGAAGTCGAACGCCTGCTCGCCGAGGATGCTAAAGCCGGCTCTACGCGATGGGAATGGGTCGACGAGAGCAAAGACGATGAGGAGGAAGGCGGAGAAGAGGATGCCGAAGGTGATATGGATGATGATGATGGTATGGACTACTTCCAGAGCCAAGACGTATTCGGAGATGGCGACGATGACCTTGCAGCCGATTTGGAGGCTGCTTTCGGGGAAATGGGTGATGAAATTCCCGCTACCGGTATGGATGCTCCAACGCCAATGACAACCACACAGGTCAATACCCCCGCGCCACTGCAAGATAGCATTGAGTCGGATGAGTCCGAGGAAGTTTCGGATGATGATGATGATGACGACGATGATGAAGACCTGGACGAGGATGCTCGAGCCCAGCGCGACGAGGAAAAGGGTGTCAAGTCTTTCATCAACGACCTGAAGAACCAGCTTGCCAGCAAGCAAGAAGAACTGGCTCGTAATACAAACAAGCTCCTCCGGACGCGCATTGAGCAGACCATCAAGCAGCTCAAGGCAGAGATTGAACTCAAGAACTCGTCCATCGGTATCGAGACAGATGATTGATGAGGGTGTAGAAATTGGTGCATGGTGTCTATCAGTTGCTGGGAAAGCAGCTGAATTCATGGCAGGTAGACGGCGTTAAGGCGTAGCCCAAAAGTTGGGCAAGCGATGATTTGATTCGGGACTCAGACCCCAAATACCACATTGACTATTCCTCAACCAACTGCTAGTAATGCTTTATTACCTGTCTTCTATCTTTTGTCCTCTTTGACAGTGATCCTCTCCAGGCTCCGATCAAAATACACCAACATTCCATATAATATGTCCACTCTTGGTTCAAGCTTGCTTCAGATATTGAAGGGTCTGCGTTTTGTTGACCACCAGAACTTCCGTCGCTGAGTCTATGACATCTTGCCACGATGTTTTGCGGCAAGTTTCCTCGAGGCCTGGTAGTTTCTTTGCCTTGCCAGTTCTTGTCTTTGCCTTTGATGCGCGCTTCCGAATCGCCTGAAGGAGTACCTTGGCGAGTTCCGCGTCTCGTTGCCCTTGCTTCTTAAGGTAGCTGATAATGAACTGATTATCCCTCATCTTTGTGGCCTTGTGTTCGCGGTTCCAGCGTTTGGTGGAGTTGATTGCATCGTTGATGCGTGACTCTAGAGTCGACGAGCTAGGAGAGGCTTCGTCATACGTTAGTACTTGAGAAATAGTCTTGAATCGGAATGACTTACTCTGCTGCTTATGGACACTCGAGCTGATATCCGTTTTTGTCTTTCGCATTGCTCGTGTTTCTATTCCTGGCACCAGAGATGGGCTTGTCTGTATCTCATTTCCCTTGACACCCACATGCCGCGGAACGTTATTCATTCGACCTGAAATCTCGTCTATCTTGGTCCTTGCGTCCTCCAGCTGGGTGTTCCACTCCATTGTGGTATCACTCATAGCTTGCTGTAACCTCTCGATATCCGCTCGTGTGGCAGGCTCATGATTATGTCCAATGCGAGCCATGTGAGCCTTGACTGCTTGGACTTCAATCATCATCTTCGTCATTCTTTCTTCATTCTGGCGCCTGAATTCCTGGTCATCAGCGGTGCGGAAAACTAGCTGCTGGACTTCTTTTTCAAGTCGGCTTGCAAGGGAGAAGACCGTATGGAGGCTGAGTTCAAAATGCATATTCGCAAGCGCCTCTGCCTGTTTTAAAAGTTGATTTTCTTCGCTTTTGGGGTTGTTTGGGGTTGTCTGGGTGGGCGAATACGCGACATTGGGGATGGTTTTCGATGCAGTCATTGCTGGAGACCAGTTGGCCGAATTTTGACTTGAAGGGGGCGACAGAGGTGCACCGGTTCCCTTAGGAACTGAGCGGTGGCGGTTCTGGCTCATGTTGAAGTATTGAAGCAAGTTTTATTTCTCTATTTGACAAAGGAAGCAAGACAGATATCGTGGAATGAACGTTGTTTATCAGAACATGACAAAATTGGTGGTGATGTAGGAGGTATGGAGAAGGAGAAGACATAATGCCTCTATGAGATTCCAATCATTGTTTCGCTTTCCTATCTACCTTACCTAAGTTAAAGTACGGGAAGGTGCGAGGTGTTGAGTGCTTCCTCCCAAGTGAATGAGCTCCCAATTTGGTATCGAAGAGGGGAGGAAGGAAGGGGCTAGAGAAGGGAACAGGAGGCAAGAGCAGCTTTGATGACTTGCAACTAACACATATGTTAGTAGAGGTTAGCCCTGTCTCATATATACAGCTCGAGATCTACACCGTCTTCCGCCTCGCCTTATAAGTAATAAGATTTACTGAGCATCGCGCTCTACAACGTTGAGGTATGCTTCTGGCAAATGGTACCTCATAGCGCAACGAAACCACTACATATATCAGACCTTGACTCGGACGGTTTGAGCGCATGCAAACTCAACGCATCAAATAGCTCGTTTTTTTGCCAGAATAACGTATGTACTCGTAAAAGGCCGACATCTGTATTGTTCAAAGGCCTTCACACCATGGCCTCCTTTACTCCAAGTCACCAATAACTTCAGCCTCTTTCCCCTTCAATCTCTCCTTACCAATCCAATCCATAAATATGCCGACATCCTTAGCTATCGCCCCAGAAAGACCTAGCTTCTGTGCCCACATAGGCACCAAGCCTTTCGCATCCGATGCTGTCCCCATCACCCATTCCAAGCTTCCATCTCCTAATTCTCTAACCCTCTCAACGCTTGTGTAAGCCGCCCGAATTGGGCCATCGTGTTTAGCCACGTCTGTTGCATCGTCACTGGCACGGATGGCGATTTGAATGACAAGGAACTCCCTGCGTCCACGAACAGCAGCTGTGGCCTGTAGAACGGGAAAGACACGCTTTGACAACGGCCCGGGAAGGTCATGGACAGACTCTTCATGACGCAGTGTCCAGTCAACCCAAGTTTCGTCATTCAGCTGAATCTCAATGCCCGAGCAATCCCATTCCTGCAGTCGCTTGAAGCTCACCACGCTTGGCGTAAAGGTCTTCTCCGCTTCGCCATGCTTCTCCTTGAAACATCTCACAAACTCATCCCAATCTGCCGTGCCCTTCTCTTTCTTTGCTTCGTGAGTGCTCCGTCGAAGCGCCCAAAGCTCTGACTGAGCTTTATCGGACGGGATCCCAAGCCCAGGGTTCTTCTGAGCGACAACCCCGAGAGTCTCAGCATCAACAGTGCGCTCGAATACATGGACAGGAGCGGCGGATCCGTCGTATGTCTTGACTGTCTTGTGTTTCCAGAGATCACTTGTGGAGCGGAGCTCAGTAGCAGGCTCCACGGAAGGGATCTCGGAAGGGACGGAGTTTATAAAAGGCAAGGCTTCGAGAATAATTGAGGAGAGAAGGACCTTGAGCTCTTCGGGTTGTGCCCCTGCAGCTGGAAGTTTAGCAGGATGTATACCCCAGAGGCGGACAAGAGGGCCATATGACTCGCTCATGATGTCTGGATAAGGTGCTGGTCCCTGGCCTGGTTAAGGGTACTGATGTAAGTGGTATTGATAAACGGTTGCTTGCTAAGTGAACACGTCGAATCTTTGTAGTCAAATGATTTCAAGACCGGAAACACAGAGCTGATGTCATTGCTGGTAACAGACGTTTTGCCAGTCTCATCACAGAATAACAACGCTACCTCTCAGACTGGTATGAATGCAGCACAGTCGTCATTGATGGCGCTCAGCTTAGTGGGGTTCAATTGCCAACTTCCAACTTGACCTCGCCATAGCAGGAATGTCCCTTGAGATCGCCTCACTTAGACATCAGATCATTACAGTCAGGGGAAATCATGCAGAAAATTGAGTTAATTCATAATTTGATCGTTGCTTATTAAAAACTTATAGATTCTATCGCCAGATCTTTGCTGGCATGGCATGACAATTGACTTCTTTTTGGAAAACCCAGCCCAGCCATTACTAAACACTCAACTCCTCAGCATGCCCATTGCATTTGCCGCATATATACAACTTGTTTCGTGTTGTCTCATCATTGCTTTCGAGCCACAAATCTACTGCTGGCGTCTCTCCCAGTGAATGTTGGCGGGCTCCAAAGGTCGCGAGAAGAGCGAAGCGTAATCGGTGTCGATCAGAGTGTTGCCGCCATCCACGTTGCGGAACTTGAACTCACGCACAACCTCAGCAACAATTGTCTGAAGCTGGGCGTTGGCAAAGTGCTCGCCAATGCATCGGTGACGACCAGCACCGAAGGGCAGATAAGGAGAGGCGGAACCCTTGCTGACAAGACCATAGCCATAGTCGATCTTCTCTTCATCATCGCCACGGGTAGCCATTCTAGGGAAGTTAGGAGAGTCGGTCTCCCATCGGTGAGGATCCCACTCATCGGGGTTGGGGAAGTAGGCTGAGTCGGTAGCGCTGACGCCAGGGGCGGCGAGAAGAGTGTGCGAGGTTGGGATGGTGTACTTGGTTCCAGGGACCGGCATGGGAGACTTGACGGCGCGCATGATAGAGTGGATAGGGGCGTGAAGGCGGAGAGTCTCCTTGATAATGGCCTGGTTGAGAGGCAGCTTGGCAAGGTTGTCATAAGTCAGGGGAGGCAGATCGGCACCGAGTTCTCTGACCTGCTCCTGGTACAGCTCCTCCATGATGTGAGGGTACTGAGCGAGACGGAGCATGATCCAAGAGCTGGTAGAAGAAGAAGAGTGCTGGCCGGCCATGAGAAGAGCAATCATCATGTGGGCGACTTCATGGTCAGGGACAGGGGTGCCGTTCTTGTAAGTAGAGTTCATGAGATGCTTCATCATATCGTGCTCAGTGTCATCGTTGTCCTTAGCTCGGCGCTCCTTAATGGTGTCCATATAGATTTTGGCAACAGTGCGCTGGGCGTGGTCACGCTTGCGGTTCCAGGGGAGAGGAGCCCAGTGAAGCATGAAGTTGATGGGGGTGAAACCCATATCAAGATCGTGGTAGAGAGCGGCCAGAGACTCGTCAAACTTGTTGCGAATGACGCTGCCCTGAAGGGCATGCGAAGCAGTGAAGATAGTGATCTCGGCCATCTTCTTAGGGATGTCGACAATACCGGACTTGCCCTTAAAATCAGGGCTCTTCTTAAAGTAATCGCGAACCTCGGCGGAGATGATAGGGACGTAGGATCGGAAGGCCTCGGTGGTAAGGGCGATCTTCATGAACTAAAGGCACTTCTATCAGCATGTTTGCTACGTAAGGATCTGACTTTCGTTTCTGACCTTCTTCTGTTCCATGAGTTTGGCATTAGGGCAGTCGTAGACGACATCCTTGCCAAAGACAGGAGTAGTGAGAACAGTATAAATCTCCTCGGCAGAGACATCCTTGAGCTTTCCGTTGAGAATGAAGTCGTTTCCAGTGGGGCCAACAGCGACGGTGGTTTTCTTTCCAAGGAGGACAAAGGTGAAGACATCGCCATGCTAGCGCAAAGTCAGCTTTTTGTCACGCTTTTATTTCTAGCATAAGAGCCTTGGGCTCCTGGCGCCATGTGTGGCCAGGATTCGCCTCCAATCCTGGATTTTGGGCTAATTAAACGTACCTTGGCGCGGTTCTCCTTGAAGAACTTGGGGGGGTCCAT